ATTATAGAGAGTACACTGTAAATCATTTGACATTTAGGTGATACAGCATAGGAGAGAACTCACTTTGGTTGTATATTGTTTAACATCAGTCACACACAGAACCCTCATTAAGCGTCTTGTCTCTCTGCTGCTGTAGGTGGCCGTGGTGTTGATGGACACTCAGGGAGCGTTTGATAATCAGTCCACCGTGAAAGACTGTGCCACCATCTTTGCCCTCAGCACCATGACCAGCTCAGTACAGGTAACTTATCTCTGATTATTGCCGCTGTAGTATTTTCCTCAATATTCCTTTAAAATGTTCTTACATAGTTTGTCTATTTTAGATCTACAATCTCTCATCAAACATTCAAGAGGACGATCTGCAGCAGCTACAGGTCTGTTTGACAATCTGTTTTGAAAAATTCCACCCAAAAACAGGAATTTTTGATCCAATGTAGTTTAGTCTGATTGATTTTTAGGACTTTTATATCCCATGCTGTAACAATACTTCAAAAAAACGACATTCCAGGTGACAAAGCTGAATAAGATCTTGCTAAAGTGTGCGAGGCTGGCATCAGGGCAAAAGTGGGGCATGTTTTGCTTGTTTTTTAATTTTATTAAGTAGGTGTGCCCAGTCTTTTAACTGGCACTGTAAAGATATGAGATATAAAAGTCCCAAAAGATGCTTTCCTGCATCAAACAGAAGCGTCTCAGTATTTTCACTGCTTAGCATCAGCTGCACAGCAGATTATTTAGATAATGAGTGCCTCCTCTCACAGCTGTTCACAGAGTACGGCCGTCTTGCCATGGACGAGATCTTTCTGAAGCCCTTCCAGGTATTAAAAAAACCCCACAAGATTATTGCTGATGTTAAACATTTTTATGTTGCACCATTTGCTTAAATATAAATGTCTTCTCCTCCTACAGTCTTTGATGTTTCTAATCAGGGACTGGAGCTTTCCCTATGAATACACCTACGGGTTTAGAGGCGGCAGTGAATTCCTGGATAAACGGTTACAGGTACAAGTTATGTCTTGTTAGTTTAAAGCATAATAAATGTCCCCCAGATACATACAGTTTAAGTAATTAAGTTGTGCACAGCTGATCTTAAAAGTTTGTGAATGTACTTCACCACTGAGTTGTTGTTTTTTTTTGAAAGGTTAAGGAGGCCCAACATGAAGAGCTGCAAACAGTGAGGGAGCACATCCATTCATGCTTCACCAGCATCTCCTGCTTCCTGTTACCTCACCCCGGGTTGAAGGTTGCCACCAGCCCTGCTTTCGAGGGACAACTTTGTGGTAAGAGCTGAAGATTTCCATACTATTTCACCGTGTTCAGGGATGGCGTTAAGCAGAGTGGTCTATATGCTGAGCGTGCTCCTGAGGGCTCATGTGTTTATTTTGTCAGATGTGGCCCCAGAGTTTAAAGAGCAGCTGCAGAGTCTGATTCCTAAACTGCTGCATCCGGATCGTCTGGCAGAGAAAGAAATAAATGGAAACAAAGTCACTTGCAGGGGCCTGCTGGAGTTCTTCAAGGTAACATCTTCATCCAAGGACCTCTGCTGAATCTGAGTCCATTCATCCAGGGTTCCTACTCAGTAATAGAAGAGTAAAGAATTAGATTTGATTAATTTCCAGGTCTGAATAAGTATGTAAAAATATTTGTTTCCAGACTGTTGCCTTTTGTCTGTTTTCTAAAACATAAAACTCTGAATTTCTAAAAAAAAATAAAAATCAGAGGGTTTTTCATGGCGTTTGCAGCAGGCAGCCAGTGCAGCTGAAATGTTGAGCTCTGTGTGTGAGAGTGTAGTGAGAGGCAGGAAGTACGACGTCTGATTGAGCTCCTGCAGAGCTGCCTTCACATCACAGCCTGCAGAACAGCTCTGCCCCGAAAGCCTTCTGAACATCCAAAAAACATCCTCACTGAGATTAGTTTGAAAGAAAATGCAGCGTTTTCATATATACATAGCATCACAAATAACCAATATTAAGCTTTCTGAGTCATGCAGTGATGTAGTTAATGCAAACGTGAATAGACTATCTTTTCTGTGTCTGGAAAACCTACATTTATGGCTGCTTTAATTGTCATTTTCATGAACACTGACTGGACAGATGCTGTAAAAATGTGATATTTAGCTCTTTTTAAACTTGTTTTTGTGTTCTTATTTATAAAGAGACTAGAAACCATAAACATTTAGATTAAAAAATTGAATAATATTGTTAATTCAGTATATTATGGGAACATATTTCATGTATATGTCACA